AAACAAACTTTAATAGCTTATTTCTCTTTAAATGTTTCATTCTAATTCAATTTTAATTTAAGTAAAATGTTAATTCAGTAAGAGCCTGATTAAAGATAAAAACCAGTGTCTCTGTAATTTAGAGACACTTATAAATGAGGTGTTTTCCATTTACAAATATTATAAAGTTCTTAAAGGGATAGTTCACCCAAAAATTAAAACTGTCATCATTTAGGCTACTCAGCATCGTGTCATTCCAAACCTGTATGAATTTCTTTCTTCTGTGGAACATAATGTGCAACAGAAATGTCTGTCCATACAGTAGAAATCAAGGTGTATCAAAAATGGTTTGGTAACATTCTACAAAATATATTTAGTGTTTTACAGAAGAAAGTAAGTCATACAGGTTTGGAAAGACATGAGGGTGAGGAAAGGATGACAGCATTTATTAGCAGTAAATTTCCTATGTTCTAGCACAAAATCAATGCTTATACTGTCAAGTGCATTTCTATGTGACAAAAATGCAGTAGGCTATTAGTTTGTTGCATTTGCTGTGAATTCAGAAATATATCATTATTTGTTTTTGTCCTCATTTATTTATTTATTTACTTACTCCAATTGAAGGCCCTATAACACAGCAAAACATTCACAGGGGAACTTGAGGGCCGGATAGGCTGGATTTGTCCAGGGCCGAATTTTCAGAATCAGAATCAGAATTAGAATGAGCTTTATTGTTTTCGTGACAGAAGCTTCCACACTGTAACAGAATGACAGTGACAGAACAAAAATGAACTGTTACAATTATACACTTATTTTCACATAGCTATGAGAAGCTTTAAACATGGATGCGCGTGCAGTTGCCGTACTGTATTAAAGCTTTAATCAGGATAAAACCGTATATTAAAAGCTAACATAAGCAGTAGCATTTACAAATAACAGCATATCTAAAAGTATGAGACAACAACAAACAAAAAACATAGACCTACCATTAAAAGCCGTGCTTGCACAGGTTCTGCACGATCCTCTACAATAATATCCTCTGCTTCTCAATCAGGCTCAAACTGATAAGCGATATTAATGACGCCGTTGTTTACAATACAACCGGAGCACATGCTGCTGAAGTGAGGGGTGGGCCGTTTAGACGTGCACTAGAGGCAGTTTAGCCAATCACAACACACTGGGCTAGCTAACCAATCAGAGCCCATCGCCTATTTCTGAGGGCGGGGCTTCATAAAAGCATGAAATGATCAGCGCGTTTCTCAGAGAAAGAACAGAGCGGTGTGGAATAAAGGTAAATTATGTGAAAAATAATGCATTTTTTTTTTTCAAACAAAGCATTAACACATGTTAGACTGCACCCCATAAACACAATCAAGCCTAGAAAAAAAAACAGTGAACCACCCCTTTAAAGGAATACTGCCAAATAAAATTCTGCCATTTACTTATCCTTGTAACCCGGTTAAACTAATGCAAGCACAACAATCAAATGGCTTGATCATGACAGATGAACTGCTGTCCAAAACTTGGTGTTGCTGCATTATGTGCATGTTCACATCCCAAACAAAATGTCATTGATTATAGAATAGGAGCTATGGGTCATCGAGAACCATCTTTGACAATGAGGTGACTGAGCTACATTATCATATAGACCTTAACTTTTAGAGTTCTTGATTTGAATCAGGAACACAACTTCATTTACATTGTGGGCGTTTTTACAGACTGCATAAAATATTTGAGTTTGAAATGTTTAGTCTGACTGAATTCAAAGTATTTGTCAGTGCTAGATTGTGATAAAGACCTCAAGAGTGACCTTACACCGCTGTGGCATTCTAAAACTGTATTACTTTGTTTCTGTGGAACACAAAAAGTGATGTTTGGAATGTATATATGCAGCTTTTTCCAATACATTAAAAACATAGTAATGATAGCTTTTTCAAGTTTCAAAAAAGGCCATTAAAGTACACTGCCCTGCACCACATTTGCATCCAATACTTGTTTCTTACTAATTTTGGGGTGCCATAATTCCAAAAATATCTGTTTTGCTCAATCATGTCACACTTTCTCACAAAAAATGACGTGCATTTCATAGCATTTTTACTTTAGATAACCATTTGAAAGGTAGAGAAGGCTTGTATTATCAACAGAAAACTGCCACAAAGACATGACTATTTGTTTAAATCTCAGCCGATTTTCACATGTACAGATAATAATGAAGACATTTCCACTTGTTCCATTTTCTGTCATTTTCAAAGCTTAACATCCTTCAGACATCTCTTTTTGTGTTTCAATAGAAGACACAAAGTAATACAGGTCTGAAACAGCATGAGGGCAAGTACGTAAATGATGATAGAATTTTCATTTTTGATTGAACTGTTCCTTTAAGACTGGATTAGACACAAGGAATCAAGGAGGCCCACAGTCACACATGCTGACCTGTGCCAGATCTCAACCTTGTAACACCACAAGAGGAAAAACAGCAAAGATTAAGAATTCATAGAGCGCTGAAGAGGCTTATTGCCTCACAGGAGCAGGCCGGTGTTATTGCAAAGCCCTTAGGACTTAAAAGTTTCCATCAAAACAAATGGATAAAGCATACAAAGCTCCATAACACTTTTTCATGAGCTCTTCGGGAGAGAGAATAACCAATAAAATGATGCCTACAGCAAGACAAAGCAAAACAACCAAAACACATATGTATATGGTCTTTGCTGGTATAGTATTCGAGCTGCCCGAATGGCCTGTGATATTTTTTTTGATTATATTTCAGGGAAAGTGAAAAATATACTTCTTGAAGTGTGGGGTTAATCAATATGCCCGTATTGATTCAGAAACCTGGTAGAGTCCTTAAAGCAAATCATATGGCCTCATGTGCCCCGAGTCTATCATCTATTGACAAATGAGAAGAAATGATGACAGCGATTCAAGATTATCTCTCCTGATTACGGCACCCATAGCTCTGAGGGTCATGGAGCATGTCTCGGTTATTGCAAAGCTAAACAGTGTAGAAAACATCCCTTTTAGCCTGAGTGAAATGTGGCCTGATCCTGCTTTTGAGAGCCTCTTCCAGCTCTTGTGAGTCAAAGCAATCAAAAGCCGAAGCAAATGAGAATTCGTTGAAGGGTCCTGATCAGACCGACAGACTGGAATATAAACAAAGTGTTGAAAATATTTACCATTGACAGTAAGCGTGACCTCCTTCTCTCCCACTCCCACCCGCGGCACCACAGCTCGACATACGTATTTCCCAGCGTCCTCCTGTCTCACTCCCTTAAGTGTCAAGGTGTTCTCGTTGCTTAGCACCTGCAAGGTAACAGATGTTTGAAAAAAAACCACAACGATAAGTAAACTTTGTAGAGATTGTTAAAAAGTTTGCTCTTGCTTGCCTTTTTTTTTAAAGCAAATTCATGAAGCAGAACTGCATGTATAATTAACCATTACTGTAGTCACAAATTCTTTCTTGTGTTTTGACTTCATCTTGACATGTGAGATCCTAACAGATGACGACCTACACAAACACAATGTGCTCTACATAAGGTCCATTAGCCCTTGAAACTCAACTGTCACAGCTGTTAGCTTCATCAAAAACAGATCAGTCACGTGTGTGTCAGATACATTCATCACGCCCAGATGGAAAAATTAATAAGATTCTATAAGTTAGGGATGTGTTCAATTCAGATTGTAATTAAGAATGCACTTCAAATTCCAATTAAACTCCTGAATTTGATTTAGTGTAACAGAATGCAGATTTGAAGTTTGAATTTAAATGTAAGGAAGTAGAATTAAAATTAATTTAGATTAACTAACGGAAATAAGTTTAAGTCGATACCCTAAAATTACTAACTGGAAATAAATAAAACCTAAAATTTAAATGCCGTTCCAAACGTAGGTTTGGGAGGAGCGTAATCATTCAGTCCTGTCAATCATCATTACGATCCTATTTAAGTAGCACTCATTGCGCCGTCCCAGCGACAGTTCTTCCAGCATCCCTCTACCTCCCCATGGCCTCCTCTATTTCTGTTATTCTCCCTCTATGTAGTACCGCAGTGGGGGGGTTGAACTCTGAGCTCAAGCCATGCCTCGGGTTTGAACCTCGACAGAGGACAGCAAGCCACGTTTGTTTACCATTAACCATCAGGCCTGGATGGGCAGGCGAACTCATGAACTAAAATTAAAACTGAAAAGAAATACATAAAACCTAAACAGCACATAAGAAAAATTACTAAAACCTATACTAAAATAAAAATTACAATTATAAAAATATAAAATAAATCAAAATTATTATAAAACCTTTAATAGTATTAGTAATAGTAAATTATAACTAGATTGAAACGTTTGTAGACAAACTTTAAGTTGGCTTGAAAAAGCCTAGTTAGAAAGTTTGAAAAAGTTTTAAAAGCTTGCAGTCTGAAAGTTTTGAGTTTGAAGTAGTTTGAAAGTTAAAATAGTTTTAAAGATTAAAGTTTGAATGTTTTCAAGGCAATACAGTCTATCAGAAAAACAGATAGGTATAAAACATATTGCTAGGGTACCTGGGGTGGTTGCTAGGCTGATTCTAGGATGACTAGCATGTTGCTAACATGTTTTTAGCATTATTAGCATGTTACTAGCATGTTGCTAGCATGATTAACATGTTATTAGCGTGTTGTTAGCATAATTAACAAGTTACTAACATGTTGCTAGCATGATTAGCATTTTACTAGCATGGTGTTAGCATTTTGTTTGCATTATTAGCAAGTTACTAGCATGTTGTTAACATAATTAGCAAGTTATTAACATGTTGCTAACATAATTCTAGCATGATTAGCATGTTACTAGCATGGTGTTAACATTTTGTTAACATGATTAGCAAATTACTAGCATGTTTCTAACATGATTACCACGTTACTAGAATGTTGCTAGCATGATTACCATGTTACTAGCATGTGTCTAGCATGTTGTTAACATGATTCTAACCTGATTAGCAAATTATTAACATGTTGTTAGCATTGATTAGCAAATTAGTAGAATGTTGTTAACATGATCAGCATGTTACTAGCATGATTCTAGCATGATTAGCATGTTACTAGCATTATGCTAGCATGTTTCTAGCATTTTTAACAAATTGCTAACATGATGTTAGCATTTTGTTAGCATTTTATTAACATGATGCTAGCATGTTTCTAACATGTTTAGCACGTTTGTTAGCATTTGGTTAGAATGTTTAGCAAGTTGCTAGCATGTTTCTAGCATGACTAGCATGGTGTTAGCATTTTGTTAGCATGATTAGCAAATTTACCAGCATTTTGTTTGCATTTTTCTAGCATGATTAGCATGTTGCTAGCATGTTTCTAGCATGTTTACCAAGATACTAGCATGTTTCTAACATGATTAGCAAGTTACTATCATGTTGTTAACATGATTAGCATGTTACCTACATTTTGCTAGCATGATTCTAGCATGTTACTAGCATGATGCTAGCATGATGTTAACATGATTCTAACCTGATTAGCAAGTTAACATGTTAGTATTCATTAGCAAGTTAGTAGCATGTTGTTAACATGATCAGCAAGTTAATAAGTTGCTAGCATGATTAGCATGTTATTAGCATGATTCTAGCATGATTCGCATGTTACTAGCATGATTCTAGCATGATTAGCATGTTACTAACATGCTTCTAGCATTTTTAGCAAATTGCTAGCATGATGTTAGGATTTTGTTAGCATGTTATTAGCATGACGTTAGCATGTTTCTAGCATGACTAACGTGGTGCTAGCATTTTGTTAACATGATTAGCAAATTTACTAGCATGTTGCTAGCATTATTCTAGTATGATTAGCATGTTACTAGCATGATTAGTATGTTACTAACATGATGCTAGCATGTTTACCAAAATACTAGCATGTTTCTAACATGATTAGCAAGTTACAAGCATTTTGTTAACATGTTTCTAGCATTATTAACAATTTACTAACATGTTGTTAGCATTGATTAACGAGTTAGTAGCATGTTGTTAACATGATTAACAAGTTAATAGCATGATTCTAGCATGATTAACATGTTACTAGCATATTTCTAGCATTATTAGCATGTTACTAGCATGATGCTAGCATGTTTCTACCCTGTTTAGCAAATTGCTATCATGTTGTTAGAATTGTGTTAGCATGATTCTAGCATGATTAGCATGTTACTAGCATGATTCTACCATCATTAGCATGTTATTAGCATGATCATAACATGTTTCTAACGTTTAACAATTTGTTAGCATTTTGTTAGCATGTTTACCAAGTTCTTAGCATGTTTCTAGCATGACTAGCATGTTACTAGCATGGTGTTAGCATTTTGTTAACATGATCAACAAGTTTACTAGCATGTTGCTAGCATGATTCTAGCATGATTAGCATGTTACTAGCATTATTCTAGCATGATTAACATGTTACTAACATGATGCTAGCATGTTTCTAGCATGTTAAGCAAATTACTAGCATGCTTCTAACATGATTAGCAAGTTACAAACATTTTGTTAACATGTTTCTAGTGTGACTAGCAAGTTACTAGCATGTTGTAAGCATGATTCTAGCATGATTAGCATGTTCCTAAAATGATGCTAGCATGTTTCTAGCATGTTTAACAAGTTAGTAGCATGTTTCTAACATGATTAGCAAGTTACTAGCATGATTGTCATTATTTTTTTTACAAAAAAATATCTGGGGAACCCTTCTACGTCTATTTTTTATTTATTTTTTTAATCTGTGCTTCTCATCCGTTCTGCGCTGTCTATGGGTAGTGCTGCTTCACCATACAGATTTAACTACACGCACAGCTAAATAAAACAGGCTGGGTGCTGATTAAAATTTCTGAAATAAATACACCCGATCTAGGACCTGCCCCGTACAGCAGCAGAGGACTATTATTTTGCGAAATGAACTGAGGATGACGTCACGGGCTCAGATCTGGTTGACCAATCGGCGGAAAGGGGCGTGTTAGGACCGCCCACAAGGGGAATTTTGAAGTGGTTTATCCGTTTTCTACCCGTGAACCAAAAAAACGAAAATCGAGCCAAAATCTCGTTTTTTCTGGGGTTTTTTAACAAATGAAAAAAAAACGAAAACACGACCAATTTCTCGTTTCTGCTTATTTCCTTTCAGATTGAAAAACAAACTTTAAAAAAGTACACGGACCAAGTAAGTTTAAATAGGATTTAAGTAAGTTGGCTTTTTCAAGCCAACTTAATAAAACCTATAGTGTAACAGTAGATAGATAGATAGATAGATAGATAGATAGATAGATAGATATTTCATCATAATAAATGAATTAACTTTTGTGGACACTTACACTTACACTTATTACAATGCAGTATATTCCACTTACTATCCACCTTCTTCCTAAATGTATTTTCTCAGCTAATAATGTAACGTTAAACCTATGAAAATTGTTTAAAAAAGCACATGGCTCCATAGGTCCATCACTTACAGTGTCGTAATGACCGTCTTTTTGCACTGACTCACCTGTCATAGTTTAATGAGTGGGTAGATGACATGAAATGGCCTGTGTTTAGCTGCACTGAAAACAGATGAGCGCTCATATCTAACATACAGATCCCGCTGCAAGTCATGCTCGTTTCTCTTGCCAGTCTTTGTCATAGAATGCAAGGCTTACAGTGCTGGACACGGACAGATTTGCTGGTAATCAAAACAAGTACTTTAAAGGAATTCCTTAAGTTTATTGCTTTTACTGAGACCAAAACATGACAGCATCCAAACAGAAGTTAGAATCCATCATGGCGGCACTCAACAGTTACTCAAGAAAAAGGTGGATAATTCCAATTTAACTTCCTGTGGAGTACTGCCAACTCAGGAACTGAAAGCGAGCCAATTTTTGCACATCCCTGTTATAAGTTTTCTGAGTAATGCAGAGTAAATTACGTACGACTCCATGGCCCCTTTTCATCCAGACAATGGTGAGCGAAGGGTTTCCAATCCAAGCGCAACTGAACACGGCATCAGATCCCCGATCCACCTGGAGGCTATGGGGTTCAGCGGCCAGACGGGGTCCGACTACAACACAAATACATATACATATTCATTCACTTCTGCTGTATGCAAAAGAACAATCATGGAAGAAAGTCATGTTACTCAAGAAATAGGTGGAAGGTGGTCACCATCAAATTTAACTGAACTTGAGAGGTTTGCCCAAAGAAGAGTGGGCAAATATTGCAACATCTAGATGTGCAAAGTTATTAGAGATATATCCCAACAGACTAAAGGCTGTAATTAAAGAAAAAGGTGGTTCAACAAAATACTGATCCTTTTTTCCAACTCAGTGATTCTGTTGTTTTATTTTATTTTTTTCTGACATGTTGGTGTTATATCTTTCACTTGGATGTTATAAGTTGCATTGAGTAAATACAGCTGGATAAAACAAAAACTGTGTCCGTCTTCATTACAGGCTGCAATGCAACAACATGTGATTATTTTAAAGGGGTGTGATTCTTTTCTATACCCACTGTATATGTAGCAGTTAAACTCACAGTAAACATCCACGTTACGGCTGATGTTGGTGCTGCCCAGGGCATTGGTGACCTCACAGGATACTGGCTCGGTGAAGAAGGAATGATCAACCAGCACCTCATAAGTGTCTCCCGTTGCATCTGTGATCATGTTTCCCCTCTTCGCCCATCTAATTATCCATAAAAGACAAAAACAGAGCAGGAAAATGAACAACCCTGATTGACACAGCCAAGGTTTTTTTTCCCCCAGATCTGCTCTAAAGATCAAAGGCGACAAGAAAGGTATTTTTTCACGGGCAAATGACTGAGATCATGTCTTATTTGCATGGTGTACTGAAACAACAAAAGCATTCTTCAGAGTGTCTAACGTAATTTTCAGGGCACCACATGTGTTTTTTTTTATTTTTATTTGGGCCTTTTCATTTTCGTGCTGTCGGCAGGCCGTGTCTTCTTTGGTGGAAGAATAACAGGAACACATTAAGAGGTTTTTAGATGCTGCCTCTATCACTGGCACCCTTTGATGCTGCGGTCATTATAGTGAAATGTGAAGAGGAAAGCTAGAAAATATGGACAACACAAGCGAATGCTGCTGCTCCAGATTCAGACGGGAAGATCAAGCACTAAGCAGATGGACTTTTGTTTGCATCTGTGAAGTTAAAGTGGACAGTGTTACAGAAATAAAAAGAATTTGGTGTAATGAATGTACTCGACACAACTTTTTTTTTATGTTTGGTCTTTTCATCAGTTTTATTGGCAGTTGACGGAGCGTAACAAAAAGTTTCTTTTTTTCTGCTGAACAAAAACATTTTTGCAAATTTTGCCATGTCTTGGCAACATTTTAAAATGAGGTGTCAAAAGCAAGGTTTATCTTTATTATCATTATAAAATCTTATTTACAATGAATTTACAACAAAATAACATTATATAATGATAATAAAGATAAACCTTGCTTTTGACACCTCATTTTAAAATGTTGCCAAGACATGGCAAAATTTGCAAAAATGTTTTTGTTCAGCAGAAAAATATATATATATATATATATATATATATATGTGTGTGTGTGTTTTCTTGTTTATTATTCATGTACTGTATCATTACACACACATTACTGTTTAAATGTTTGGGGTTGATACAATTTTTAAAAACTGTTTTGAAAGAAGGCTCTTGTGTTAACCAAACATACGATAAAAACAGTAATTTAAAATGTAAAAAAAAGTTCACAAGAAAACAGTAAAAAATTGCTCAAGAAATTTATTATAATTTTTCCATGATTCTTTGATGAATATAAAGTTCAAAAGAAATGCATTTATTTGAAATAGAAATATTTTGTAACATGGTAAATGTTTTACTATCACTTTTGATCAACTGAATGCATCCTTGCTAAACATAAGTACTGATTCAAAATTTTACTTTTAAATGGTAGTCAGCACACACACACGCGCACGTTAGTGATGCGCGGATGGCGGTTATATCCGCGGGCGCTGCGGATAATCCGCGGATCGGGTGGGTCGGGTAATAAAAAAATGCATTCTGATTATTTGCGGGTGGGTCGCGGGTGGATAAAATAAATCATTAATGATGCAAGTATTAACTACATTTTCTAAACTATGAACGTGTTTTAAATAGGCTACAGAAATTGAATAAACTGTAAATTAACATTAAAAGTTATTCAACAAAACATTATTTAGTCAAGAGCAGTAAGTTTTGTTGTGCGTGCGTGCGTATGTGTATAAACCCAAAACCAATAGAAAATAATACATGCATTGATTGTCATGACAACAGCAAAGGCCATGTTCCTGCATCATATTTTAACTTTTGCTTTTTGTTTTGTCTGAGTCTCATGCAAAGAGCATTTCATTTTTAAAATGACTTGTCAAACTAAACCTAGTTCTAAAAATGCATCTCAAGATGCATTCAGTTCCATTTCGCTGCTGCGCTTTGCCTAGTTGCTTTGGAATGGAAGAACAAGTCCTTTGTGAATGCCACCTCACTCATTCACACATCTGCTCTCACCAGCAGCTCTACATGCTCACTTCAACAGAACCAAGACTCAAACTCACACTGCCTACATGCACGCCAAGGCTCAACGTTTATGTGTGCTGACCCCTAGGCCACAGCTACAACACAAACTGGGGAAGTCGTGGCCTAATGGTTAGAGAGTCGGACTCATAACCCAAAGGTTGCGGGTTTGAGTCTCGTACCGGCAGGGATTGTAGGTGGGGGGGCGCTTCGGATGTGACTGTGAGCGCACGCGCCTCTGGAGAGCGCGAGTACCGAATGGCTTAAAAAGACGTGAAATAATACATTTTTGTGACGATGCAACAATGACGGATCAGGCAATTGACAATTCCGTCAACTGTCCCGAAACGCGAGCTAAAGTCTTCTATCGCAGCGTGCAGCAGCTCTAGATGCGTCGATGTGAAGCAAAGTCAAAGAGAGAAGACCCGGTACAGCTGAATCACATACGCTGCTTTCATCTGATGGTTTGTGTGGATTTATTTACTCATCTAATCCACACGCTATATTGAATAAAGGTTTTGCAGTAATTTCCCTAATTTTAAAGTCGAAAGCTGCGGGAATGAGTAATGCGATGTATGCGCAATCCCGCAACGAAATTCAGTATCTGATTAAACATAATTCTATTATACAGAGAATTGTGAAATAGATTTTCATGACTTTTCAAAAAACTTTTTGAGTTTATTTATTTTTACAAAACTTTCTAGGCCTGGAAATTGCTGTTCAATGACTTTTCCAGGTTTTTTATGACCGTACGAACCCGAATGTGATGATCGGGTGCGGGTCGGGTGCGGTTATCTAAATCAGACAAAAATACAGGTGCGGGCGGTTGGCGGGTGGATAATTTATTTGAAGCTGCGGATTCGGGTGACGTTTTAGCTCATCCGCGCATCACTAGCGCACGTGCACACGCACGCAACCAACCCTAATATATACAGGTATATATATATATATATATATAT